GGAAGTTAGAGGGAGCTCGAGCCCCCCATGATCGAAATGTCAGTTAATCGTTATTATCTTGTAATTAATTGCAATGATTATTTTTTTCCTTGCGCTTAATCATTTGAAACATTAATATGGTAGTAAACTTTCATTGGCATCCCAAGTTCTAAGCCAAAATTTCAACTTCCAGTCGGCATGGGCGTAATCATAGTCTAAATAAAGGTTATCTGCAGCTTTTCGCCATGATTTTCAATGGCATATCTGTCAAAAAAGCTGAAACTAACTTTAGAATGGACTTTATTTCGACTATGAATTTGCTCCCATGTCTTTGTTGGGCGTTAATTTTGAAGAAATAATCAGAAATAAAAAAAATGTCTATGAAAATAGCTTGGTTGTCTAATTTAATCAAACACAGCACACTGTCTTACAAAATGTATGTATGAGAAAAATCTTATAATAGATAAGAAAAGATTGACGCTTACACAATCCATTAGTGTTTGGCCGAGCTTATCCTCCAATTTGTGGCGTGCGTCTTGATGTTGTTACACAAAGGGGAGAACCTAGAGTTTTACGCCGATTGTATTTTTACGAGAAGCTGTTTTTATGGCTGAAACACACTCAGGAGGTGACCGTTATTAGAAAATACCATTTTGTTTTTTATGTTTTGATGTTGATCGGAAACTGGGCTTGAACCCAGGCCCAGCGGAATGGTAGCACGCACTGCTAACCACAGCGGTCGCCAATAAAGTAAAAACTATTATAATTACAAAGCAAAAAGTATAGTACTATCTATTATCTTAAAGAAAGAAAATGAGAGAAAATAAATTTTTAACCTAATTGTTTGCCTTGTTTAATATATCCATTTTTCAGATACCGGACAACTCAAGATTCTTGGTCGGCCAGTATGTAACTATTCATGATGACGTCATAAGTCATGTGAACATATCAAATGTAAAGGAGGAGGATGGTGGCGAGTACGCCTGCACAGCACGAAATGCAATCGGAAAGTAAGTATATAATTATCGTCGTTTAAAGTACAAAACCGCGTAGCAACAAAATGCAAAACCGCGTACATGAGGTGCGATAATTATTTGCTATAGAGTAAAAACACTCATATTTCAAAATGGTTCTCTTTTTTATTAAGCAATCGCATTGTGACCAGTATATTTCAGGACGAATGGATAAAGGTTGAGCCATGAGCTTGTGTGCCCAAATCCAATTTTTGGCAAAAAATGTCAGGGATTTTTTGTCCAGGACATAAGATCAAAAATCATGCTTACAAGCAGCGTTGCCAGGTTGACGTTTTTAACGTCATTGGGACGTTTTTTGTACCCTGTTGACGTTTGGACGTTTTTTGTGTAAAAAATGACTTTTTTTAACTTCCCAGTAATTTTTCTTTGTTACTAAATCTTATAAGTAGAACTGATTTTGAATTATTTTC